CGAACACAATTGGGCTGGCGCGGGTCAGATGCTCGTATTTTTAGAGAGGAGCCGGGCGGTGATTGGTGCGTTGCAGAGCCCGCCCCGCTGCACGGCCGGGGAGCCCTTCGGTGTGCTCGATTTGTGTTTCTTTGGACTAACAAAAGTGTATTTTCCTCGGAATTTCTGCCACCAAATCGCCCCATTTCCCCGGTGAGGGAGGAGAAGAGCAGGTACTTGCGTTCGGGAGAGTTTCCAGCCGCAAACGCGCGGCCTGAGGTAAAGGAGAGGCGATAAATCCCGTGTGCTGCTGCTGGAGAGACCTCTGAAGAGAGAAACTTTTGTTTTTCCTTGCAAATTAAAAATTTCCTTTTGACATAAATGTTATAGCAACGGCTCAGTCTGATTCTTTAGAGGGTTTTCTTGGGGTCAAAGTTGAAACCTGCCGATTTAAAGCTATTTTGACAGTTTAAATTGATTTTGAAGAGGAGGAAGTAACACAAACTCCTCTTTCAGCTCTGAATATGGATTAAGAACCGGTTCCTTTGACCATGTGTTTTACCTTCTAAAACGCTAAAGTCCGGTGAAATAGTGTCTCCTACAACCTCCTATTGCACTTATTATAGATCCAGAAGCAATTTGTTAATATCTGGAGATTTATGAACACACAGTTGTTTTATTTTGCCTTCCTGGAATTTCAGTAGAAGGGAGGCAAACTTACCCTGCTACATTGTGTTGGGTGTTTTCTTTCTTTTGTTTGTTTTCCATATTAATTTCTGTACCAGTTATTAAGTAAATCGAGCTATTTACTTTTCATCTGGTATGTCACTTTCAAGGAAACTGTTATTTGATATCTGATGTTACAAAACTACAGCTTTGTAAAAGAAAGCAAACTCGAAACTTCTGGGGATATTTACTGAAATTATCTTGGTCTCTCTAGTAATTTAAGATGTTCAAGGGCTCATGTAGCAGTTTAGTATGCTTTTCCTGCCCAGGGATTATTATCTTGTTATGTATTTTCTCTAATAGTAGTAGAATTTAAAACCATATTGCTGTTTTTGTTTTGGTTTTTTTTTTTTTTTTGAACACATCTCCCAGGGCATGTCTACACAAAGGTTTATCTATAGCCAATTCTGAATCCTATTACTACTTTAAATAAAACCCACCTAATTCTTCCTTGTGCATTTTACAGCCATCACTGAAATGAGGAAATGCTTTCAGGACAAAAACTGGAGCACTTTGTGATAATCTGAGTTTTAACAAGGGGAGAGGTAGGCCATAGGTCGTTCCTAAAGAACCAGGAAGAATTCAATCAATAGCGATATCTGGATGAAGGTGATGTTATATGCTGAACAGAACAGAGCTCTTCAATAATATTTCATTAATCTCTACCTGAATATAATCGAAGGTATTATCCATCGCCTTTCGTAGTTATTTAAGAGTCACAAAGACTACACTTCAGCCCTGCCCTCTGACTTCCTTTGATATAACCAGATATAACTTATTATGTAAACACAGTATTTAAGTGATGTTAGCAACTAAAATTTCAGATTATATGAACAAGTAGTTTTAGGTAATCCTGTTTAGGTAATCCTGTTTCCACGTTATTGATTCATTTAAATGGCTACTTTCTAAATACTAAATATGTATATAACATAAAAACATTTTAGTTTGCTGTAAAATTGGGTTTCAGTGAATATGAAACTATGACTAAATGCAAAAAAAAAGGGAGAAATTGCAACCCACACCCTAGAAGAAAAAAATATCAGAAAAAAAAGGTTGCAGGAAAAGTGCACATGAGCTCTGTAATGCTTCAACAGGAAAATAGTTAGGAGAAGGGCTAATCGAATTGGAACTTTCAGGGTCTTGTTTGAAAAAGTTATGTAGCATAAAATAAGGATATAGGAATGAAATAAATTGAAGTGGATGTGGGTATTGAAGATATATCTTTGGAAATTACCAAAAAAATGAAGTAAAATAAATACACATTTTTAAGTCTATATCCTATATATGTTTGTAAATTAATGATACTTTTTACTGGTTTTACTACAAAGTCAAATAAAGTAGCAATGCTGTGAGTAGATGAGATTTAGCAGCTACCAAGACACTTCATAACACACGGACAGAGGAAAAGCGTAGACTGTGAATGACATGTCAGCAAAATGAAAACTCAAGTTGCCCACCCTTGTTATTTTGAACTCATACACATTTCCTTTGGTAACCTTCACTGGAGGAGATTTAAATACTCCAGCCCTCAGTTGTGGTTTCACAGAGTGTTGATTCCCATTTATTGGTGGCTGAAATTGATGTGGCTAAAATGGTCACCATCCCAGTTGTCTGCCTGGCTTTTCTCCCAGCAGTTGCTACCCTCTCCCTGTTCCCAACAGGGATAGCTAATAGTATGTGTAGCAGCTTCTGATCTCCAGAAGTTACAGACTACTATCTTAAAATAAATTGAAGTAACTTCAGAAATTTCATGACACGGAAAGAAGCTCTGATCTTGCTTTTTTAATGGCTTCACAGCAAAGACATAAAATAAATGTAGCGATTTACAATTGCTGCTTGGAACACGTGTTCTCTACATGAAAGGAATACATACAGGAACAAAATTTTGGAAAGTTAAAGTGCATTTTGCAATTTTAAGAAGAGTTTTCTCTGCAGTCAGAGCAGATAATTTAGAAGGAATGGACAGATGTACTCAGGCAAAGAAAAAATGTGGTGAAGCATTATATAAAGGGCAGGAATGGCAGTTTCACCTCCAGCTGAGCAAACGAGAAAAGGAAATAATCCTGTTTGAGTTATAGGATATTGCAGAAAGACTTCAGGAAGGAGGCACCATACATACTCTGACATGCCATTTGGCTTTCCCAATGAGATGGGAGGGAGGTAGGCTTCATCGTTCATTAAAAGAGGAGGAGAGCGATAACAGGATCTCCAGTGATACTTTTGGGGAAAGCATCGCTGTAATGACTGCGACGTCTGAATGACTTCAATCCTTCTCACCTCACGGGCACACCAGCAGGCCACACTACATCGCAAACCTGCACGAGATTGCAATCTGAACCCTGCAAGTCACTTCCCTTCAGATACCCAGATCTGTCCAACTTTTGCAGTGAAGACCTCTTGGCGTAAGCAAGGAGACACAGGAACCACAGCCAAGGGCTGGCACCGCACCTGAGAGCTATTAAACATCCCCATCTCCAGTTTAGGACCTGCCGGTACTTGTTCCTAAGAAAATGAGCTCTGGGTTATATTTAGTTATTTTTGCAATAATGAGAGGTGGCACGGTAGTTGTTCTTCTCAGGCAATTTTGTTAGGAGGCGTTAGCATGAGAGCTAGCTGCAGAAATGTGGCTGATGGGGTGCTCTACTTGCTGTAGGTGAGTACTGCGCTCAGTCCTTCTTAGACAGCCGGAGGAAGTACAACCGATACGCCTGTGCACCACAGCCCCTCTCCTTCCTCCGACTGACTATTTCCGGAGAGATTTAGGAGAGGGCCTTTACGTTATGTGCTGCCCTCCCGCATACATGTTCCACAGGGAAGAGGTGTAAATACTCCCTGCAACCATGATTACACTCTTATTAGAGCGTTACACCCATGCCTTACTTGCCCTCAGTGACTTCATCCTCCATCTGAGTTACAAATGTAATAACTCCTGCCATCAAACCAGCCAGCACAGTTTAACAGCTTTTAACCCTTAGCTAAGCAATTTT